CTAACTATTATTCTTTCTGAACTAATTCTAATTTTAACTCTATTCTAAACTAATTCTAATTAATTAAATAATCTAATTCTATTTTCTAAATAAAATTCTAAGTAATTTCTAAACAAATAAATTCTAATTCTAAATTCTAATCAAATTCTAATAAAAAATCTATTCTAAACTAATTAATTCCTAAATCTTTTTCTATTTCTAATTAAAATTCTAATTCTAATTATTCTATTTCTAAATCCTAAATTCTAATTAATTCTATTTTCTAAACTAATTAATTAATCTAATTTCTAATTAATCAATATTACAAACTTACTACTATATTATATTAACATAACTAAATCTTAAACTAATTATTAATTATTAAAAACTAATATTAAAAAAAGCTAAATAAAATTCTAACTAATCTAAACAAATCAAAATTAAACCTAAATTAATAAACGACTGTTAAAAATAAATCACAAAAATGCAACGGAATAAAAAACAAATGAAAGGGTCGAATACCAAAATGCTTGAAAGCGAGAAACTAACGCGCCAAAATTATCAGCACGGACTAAACCACCAGGAAGAATACGACCTTCGTTCGATTTCGAAATAAATCTTATCATTTGAACTGGTTTAAATTGTCTAAAATACGAACAAAGCGGATGTAATTCTGATAAACCCATTTCAGCTGATAACATGGACAGTATGTGAGAAATGGTCGACCTAGATGATATACAGAAGAGTGCGAAACAAAAACCAGTTAGAGTTAGAAAAGGGAAGGCAAATTTTGGGGTGCAACACCACCCTATGGTTTCCTCTTTTCCTGAACTACATTTATTCTGATTTCTCATACCAGATGAGGATATGTAGGCACAAGATGGTGATGTCTTGGCAAGCAACCTTCCCCAATCACCCGTAGTTTTTCGAACTACGTTGACTCTGACTTTCCCATTGCACGAGCGAATACGTAGGCATAGGAAGGCGATGTCCTATCGAGTCTCTTTTTTTCCTTTTATTCTCATTTTCGTTTAGCAATAAATTTTAGATAACACACCCCTTGGTTAGAAAACAAGCGTGGATCCCGTTGAGTATAATGGACGTGAGGGGTGCTCATACCTTCCCCTTGCGTAACCGACTCTCAAACCCAAGATTTGGTTGCGATGATTGTCTTTTCCTATTCTTCAGGTTTTCTTCGATCGTTTCCTTTTCCTCTCTTTGGGGTAAATAGCGTTCGGTGGCGACTCTTCTGTTTGTTTCTGTCGGATGTTTTTCGCAGTTGCGACACCTCTCTCCTAGTCTCTTGTTTCAGCAAATTTTCTTCCTTCGTTCAATGACAGTGTGTATTTTTTCTGTCTCTTGCTTTGTTCGTGTTTGTTCCCATAAATCAATCATTTGTTGTGTAAGTATTTTCTTATATGTTTCACTTGGATGTTTCTCTAGTAAATTCTCTTGCGTAAAGATGATGAATGGATAGGTGAAGATCCTAATGAAGAAAATGTGCAAACTGGAGTTAACATTGAGAAAGATGATATTATTGTTAACAATATTGTGGAAGTTGATGTTTTTGTTACTAATGTTGTGCAAAATAGTGGTGGCAATGTTGAAGAAGGTGGAAGTGGAACATCAAGCAATCCAACTTTGGTTAATGATGAAGAAGATGTTTCATTTAAGGCAGAGTTTGATAATGATACTCAAGATACCGATGACGATGATGGTGGTGATATTGGTGGTGATGATTTCACTGGAGCTTTGGATGTTTAAAGTTATTAACATATTTATTTTGATTTTTTTTACTTTATGTAGTAGTCAATTATGAAGAATTAGTACTTTAAGTCTTTAACTACATATTTTGTTATTTTGTTTGTTTTATTAATGAGTTCTTTTGTTAAGAAATATATTATGGGGTATGAAATTTAAAATTTGATGTTAATTGGTGCTCTATTATATATATTTGTATCATATATGAGTCATTTACAAGTTTAAAAATATATATGTGTGTCATGTATGTTTCACATATAGATTTTTGAACTTCATTTTAATTTCTCATAGACTCGTACGAGTCTGAGAGTCGAGTCTACAGACCCTTTACGAGTCTGAGTAGACTCGCAAGTTTGACAACCTTAAACTTTATCAGAATACTTTTTAAAAGTACATTTTATGATTTAAGAGAAACAACTTATTTTGCGAAGTAGTTAGTTGAGCCTTCATTATCTCGCGTTGCTCAGTGTATATAGGTGTTATGGGCTTGTATCTACTTTTTCCTTCAACATAATTTAATCCTTCAGATAACTTTCTAAAACTTGGTAATTCTCAACACTTATGTTTAAATTTTCCCAAGAACTTCTCAACTCCACATCATGTTATCTCAATTTCTATATTATGCACTTACATGACTTTATATGTGCCTATGTGAGCCCCCAAGTTAGCATGTCTTAATTCCTTTGGAGAGTCGATCTTCCCTCACCGACTAAGGAGTAACAAGTTAAAGCCATTAAGTGATCGATATGAGAAATACATTATACAAGTATAAACTGGTCTAGGTGAAGAGGAGTTGCGATGGAAGGAAGAAAAATGGAATCATTCTCATCATAAAAACTAACCATTATAAGATGCTCATTGAAGAACAAAATCACATCAATTTAATTTTCTTGGAAGATGAAGACGGCCTTCCAACTTCATCGCGATCGATGACTTCCTTATTAGGCTCAGGTTGGTGGAGGCAGATGGAAATTGACAAACTAATACTTGTAGAACAAGTTTTTTGCTCCAATGTCTTCTTGAGTACATCCCATCCTGCCACATCAGCTGCAATATAACAAAATAAAGACGATAAGATAAAGGAAAATTGGTACACACTAAAAATGATAATATCATCATCCTTCGTGGAGAAAAGGAGAAGAATAAAAATACAAGACATGGTGAGTAGCCTACATAAAATCATGTGTTCTTATTTTCTTGAAAGAATGTGTCTCCGCGTCTTTCAACCTCTTAAGAGCAAAACGCATGCCCTGCACATTTTCCTTAAAATGGCCACTCGACCAACATTGGTTGACGTGCGATTTGCAAGGTGTATTGATAGTGCACATCAACGAGTGAGATCTTGATTAGTGGATAAAGAAGTACAAACAACAAGAATAATTACCAAATGGGCAGATTAAGAGCTAGAAAATCAGGAACACCAACATAAATAACTAAACCTTAGAAACTCCCGATTAAAATGAAACATGGTACAAAATAACAAAGCACAGGGTTTCAATTTAAGATAAACGCACAAATGATGAAAAACTTGTTGTGAGTCCCAAATACCAAGATGAAGGTAAATTTGCAAGAGATCCAATAGTAGATTTGCAATAAAAGACTTAAAAGCGGTGAAAGGCAGTTGAAATTCATAATTGCAAAAAATAACATCATAAATGAATAACTAAACCTTAGAAACTCCCGATTAAAATGAAACATGGTACAAAATAACAAAGCACAAGGTTTCAATTTAAGATAAACACACAAATGATGAAAAACTTGTTGTGAGTCCCAAATACCAAGATGAAGGATAAATTTGCAAGAGATCCAATGGTATATTTGACAATAAAATACTTAAAAGCGGTGAAAGGCAATTGAATTTCATAATTGCAAAAAATAACATCATAAATGAATAACTAAACGTTAGAAACTCCCGATTAAAATGAAACATGGTACAAAATAACAAAGCACAAGGTTTCAATTTAAGATAAACACACAAATGATGAAAAATTTGTTGTGAGTCCCAAATACTAAGATGAAGGATAAATTTGCAAGAGATCCAATAGTAGATTTGACAATAAAAGACTTAAAAGCGGTGAAAGGCGGTTGAAATTCATAATTGCAAAAAATAACATCATAAATAAATAACTAAACCTTAGAAACTCCCGATTAAAATGAAACAGGTACAAAATAACAAAGCACAAGGTTTCAATTTAAGATAAACACACAAATGATTAAAAACTTGTTGTGAGTCCCAAATACCAAGATGAAGGGTAAATTTGCAAGAGATTCAATAGTATATTTGACGATAAGAGACTTAAAAGCGGTGACAGACAGTTGAAATTCATAATTGCAAAAAATAACATCATAAATGAAAAACTGACACAAAATACAAAGATGGAGGTAGATTTGAGGGCAAAAGTCTATGAAAGCGATGAAAGGCATTTGAAATTCATAGTTACAAAAAAGTATATCATAAATGAAAAACTGACACAAAATACCAAGATGAAGGGTAAATTTGAAAAAAATACAATAGTAGATTTGAGAGCAAAAGACTCAAATGCAGTCAAAGGCAGTTGAAATTCTTAGTTACAAAAAATAACATCATATATGAGAAACAAACTAAAAATTATCACCCTCATGACTGGTCATTAACACCAAAAAAAGGCCGCACCCCATTCTTCAACTCTTCCAAAGTTTGTCCAAGGACCGTGCATCAAAAAGATATCAAAACATCATAGGCCGTTAGGGCCCAAGTAAAATAGAGAGATCAAAATCCAATTAATAAAGATCAAAAAATTAATTTTGATTAAAAAAAGTGCATTTAAACTTAAAATTAATAACCACAACTTTTTTTATCCTACTCAGTAATGTTAACTAAGGACCCATGTCATTAATAAGAGAGTGCCACATTATCAGATATTGCGGAGGACCAAAAATATCACTTTTGACATGGCTAACCAACCTTCTTTAAATGGGAAGAGGAAAAATATTCCATCGGAACTATTGCATACTGTTGGGCACTATTTTTACATTAATTTAAATATCAAACTAAAACTAGCGTCCACCCAATGAAAACAAATCTTCCATCATTCAAATTCAACTTTATACATTCATAAATAAACAGCTAGTACGACTAATCCGAGAGCACATCTTAAATCGACCTTCTGTGTTGATGAGAGCCTCTCTAGAGCTGTACATTCTATCAGTCGAATCGAGTGGAATTACAATAAACTCGGGAGCGCAGAGCCATTGACTGTCGTTTTCTGGGACTGGAAAACTCATTGATCGGATGTCAAAGCTGTTTTATCATCAACAGAATCATTATGCGCAGGAAGAGAAGTCTCGCAGTTCAAGTCATTAACCTCGCTGACCTGGTCATCAAGTGTATATAAGAGGTAAAAGGATGCATTTACTACCGCTGAGAGCAAACATTAACTCATTGTAGTCAATAGAAACATACCTGCTCGGGTGGTGGAAGAGTGAGGGGTTCATGGTTTCTCTTAGAATTAGAAAGGTCCCTCAAAGTACCCTGCAGAATTTCATTTTCAAAATGTGACTGCAGTACTCCCCAAAACACAATTAAACAATACCCAATCTAGTGAATGACAGCATACCTGCTCAGGTGGCGGAAGAGTGTGTTGTTCGTGGTTTCTCCTAGAAGTAGATAGATCCCTCAAAGTACCCTGCAAATTTTCATTGTCAGAATGCGCAACTACTGGCAGCTCTACAATTAGAACCGTTAGATTCACAGTTGGATAAATTTGAATTTAATGCTTGCAAGAATACAGATGCACCTCCTTTGATGTGCTTTGAAATGGGAGGGAAAATAGTTTAAATAAAAATTTGCCACTCATGAAGAAAATAGTTCACAAGTACAATGAAATCAATATCAAAAAAATGGACATCCAAAGATTTTGATGATCACAAATAGCAAGACCAAATATTAGACATAAAAATTTGCAAGAAAGAGTTTGCAATGATGATTGTGTAGAAATTAATGAACAAGTAAGCATTCAACGTCTTCTCAAAATGAAACCAACTCTCAGCCAACAATTCATATCTGTTTTGCATTTCCAATAAAAGGAAGAGAAAAAAAAACAGTTGACTAGAAGGGGGAGTGTCTGCTTAAAATGAGAGTTCTGCGACTAAAATCTAGCTGATATAACATTCACTTCTACATCAAAGTCATATGGTGTGAAGAATAATCTGTCCACACTGCAGGTGGACAAGCCAATCTTTAATAGCAAAGTAAAGTGAGATCCAAGACCAAGGGTCTGACCCATAACAAGAGAGACATGCAGGAAAATGTTTATCTATTTTCAATTTCAAATGCTCTAGATAGATGAACATGAACAAGAGGGTTTCCACCCAAAACAAAAGATATGGATGATGAATACTTACTCTATTTGCCCAAAAAAGACCACAAGCATTGCAAAGTGTCCTTGGGCCAGATGGCCCCCTTCGCATCATAGGGGTGGATCTTGAACTGATTCCACAGTGCGTGCATCTGTACAACCAAACAAATCAAGATGGTAAAATATCCAATGTCACATCTAAAACAGCACCACCAAACCAATATTCAGTCAAAAACTTACGCAGTTTCAGATTGAACCACATCTTGCCCCGACTCTGGGTCAGATCCCCAGTTATTAGCTCCATCTTGTTTTTTAGCCGATGTAAATTGGCCCTTACTACGTTGCATCCTGCATTAAAAAATAGAAAAAAATAGGTATGATGGAAATAAAGTTGAAAACAAATTATGAACAAATACCGAGGCACCAAGCCATTTGTCAATACAATCCAAACTAGCAAATCCCTATAAAGAGGAATGGCAACAGTGTCTTTTGAAGATACTGTTAATGATTGGAATATTATTAAAGAAGTCAATGAACTTTTAAAAGAGTGATCAATATATGAGACAAGTGGGTTGAATTTTTCACAAAATAGACCAAACATAAAGGGTGTGTTTAATGAAGATGCCATAGAACCAAATATCAGAGTTCGAAATATAACCTTTCACTAAAGCATGTTAGCAATATAAGTAGGGGTGGCAAACGGCATGCCTACCCCATAAAAGCCTGCAAAAATAGGACGGGGAGGGGCGGACATAATAGAGGATGTAGGCCTAAAACCTTGGCCTGCTCTGCAAAAAAGATGAGGGCAGGGAGGACTCTGCACCCCTAAAGCCTAAAAGTTGCAAAACTTCATGCCCGTTATTGCTTGTGCCCGCAAAAAGCAGGGCGGGCATAGTAGAGGGCGTGAGTCTAAAACCTTGACTCAGCCCACAAAAAAATGCAGGCAAATGGGCATGCCCAGCGGGCCGGGTCCATTTTGCCACCCCTAAATATAATTGGCTGATATATCAAGCATCCAGCTTACTGATTGAGTACACACTATTATAGTATGAATTATACTTGAAGTCACTCTGTATTCAATTAAAGTTTTGCAGATGTCAGGAGTAACGGAAAACATGTAAGCACTAATGTTTGCTTTGTCTTTGAGCTTATTATGGTCAATATTTATCTTCTAAATCAGAAACATAGTAATAAAAATATATAGTGGTTAAAGACAGATACAAAACAGCTTGGAGTGTATACCCCCAAAAATGCTATATGTGAAATAGCAAACGGTGTAGAATGGCTGCTACAGAAAATACCGCAGCAGCAATGAAACTACTGCAAATACTTGTAGCACGCCTAATTAATAACCCTAATGGCTTTAAACCCACTGGACTTCAAAACAAATCAACAGTAAAAGAAGTTTCAATAAACAATGAAAATGCTTTCATCAATTGTCCTGACGAAAAACTTGCACCATATTGAAAGTCTAACAGGTATTATAATATTTAAATGAAAGGAAAATACGGACTATTACCCATAAAGGAAGGACAGCAATTTCAATTGCCATTAACAAAAAAGACAGTAACGTAAAAATTAGGTTTTTCCTCTTTGATCGGCATCTTTCTTGGAAGAAAGAAAAGAAAGAAAAAAAAAACTACAAAGGTTGAGAGGGCAGTGTATGGTGAAAACAGACAGAATGGTGAGGCAAGAGCTGTTTGCAGGACTCATCCATAACAGTGAAATGCTCCAACACCAGCAATTGGGAGCAAAGAGGTTCACTGAGTGGTGAGGCATCAGTATTTAATGTTTTACATGTATAAATATATGTTTATTTAATTTATCTTGCCGCCTCTACACCTTAAATTTAAAATCTAACGTGCCTATCATATCAGATTCACATGCATGTGCACACAAGAAAAAATATCAGATTTACATGCATGTACACAAGAAAAATAGCTAGAAATGAAAATATTTTCTATCTTCAGATTACGAAAAGTAACTTCATGCATATCACTCATCAAAAGAAATACGAGCGAAGTACTTTCAGAATATACCCACTGAGAGTACATCTATTTCAGCCTAGAGAAAAATAGCTTCAAGGAGTGAATAAAAAGATCCCAAAACATACAAAGAAATTAAATAAGAAAGAATATTGGGCATGCATTCATTACACCCAGATTCAAACAAAATTCTTTGGAAATTATCCATTTCCATTAATATGTCAGCATAGCATAATTAAATTATTCATCAAATTATGATTCAATCCTTCTACAATCTTGGGACATTTTGTGGGGGCAAGCAAATGTGATACTCCTCCTGGGATGGAAGGACAAAAGTTTTGATTTAATTCATAGCAACCAAGTCAGAATTGTCCCTTTAATTATGTCATACACTAGAGTAAAATCTACTAACACAATAAGTTTTAACTAGAAAACAACTAGGCTTACAATCAGATTCAGACCTTAGTGCAACTTCTTGACGGACTTCATATCTAACTTTCTTATCAAAGTTCCGCTCTTTCCTTTTCTGACGAAACCTAATCAAGGATGCTGCTCGCTGTGGCTGACTACATCTTGTAGGAAATTCAGTACCACTCTACACCAATACCCAAATAATTTAAAAGAAGAAAAAAACATTTGTCAGTAACTTAAGCTTAGGATTGAAATTCTACAGCAACAATATCTAATCTAATATAGGAGTATATAATAATATTTAAATGTATATCAATACTCTCTGATTTAGGGGCGATGAGTCCAAACATTGGGAACCCGATGATAGTTCACATCCTCCTAACAGTAACAAAACCGATTGAACCTGTAACACAAAACTTGAATCTTAAAATTCACCTAAAATTGATACAAAATTGAAGGTCAATTTTTAGTGAAAAGAGGGAAAAGGAACATAAAGAAAACGAACCTTTTCAGGGGTAACAGAATCGAAGACATACACTTGACCACGAAACGAAAGCGTGAGCTGGCTAGAATCATCGAATCGTTGAATTGACATGTCGGCGTGGTTTCCATCACCGGAAACATAAACGTCTTCGATGGAAACATCTTGGATTGCTCCTTCTCCATCGCCGGAACCGTCTTCAAGGGTGTGTGAATCGTAATTGATGTGATTTTCACCATCTTCGTTGTTCTTGATCTGGTCGGACATGTTGATAGAGTTGTACATTGTTGGATGTAGATTCGAATTAGGGGTTTTGATGCATTAGAAGGTGAAACCCTAACCCTAGAAGAAACCCTAATCTGATTGAGAGAGAGTGTGCGGGTGGAGATGTAAAGGAGAAAAATGTGTCTGAGAGAGAATGTGTTGTGAAGTGTGTGAAGGCTAGCTATGTCGGAATGAAGAGTGTTGGGACGAAAGTAACCCAAATGCTGCCAATATTTACGAGAGATGGGTAAAAATATCTATTTTTTTTTATTAAATAAAAAATGTATGAAATACGGGTGTTTGGTTCGGGGTAAATGGAGGGGAGGGGAGGGGAGGGAAGGGGAGCAAAATCCCTCCAAAACACATTTTTTGGTTCCCTCCGAATTGGGGAGATTTGGAGGGGAGGGGAGGGAATATGAGTTTTGATATTTAAAAATTATTATATTTACTAAAATATCCTCAGTTTAATTTTATTATTTCAAAACTATTTGTTATCTTTTGTGTTACTGTTTTTTCTCGATTGTTTTCATCAACTTATTATAATTGTTCTCCACCTTCAAATTATTTTATAATTTTTATAATTAATATAAATCATAATCATTGTCTTTTTTTTTATAAAAAAAATTATATTTCGTTATATTCGTTTTTTTTTAATTTTGTTATGTACTTTATCATATTTTCTTTTATATCAAATTGTAAACCATATCATTTTATTTATTTTTGTTTATTCATTTTATTAAATATTTTGAACCATTAATATTTTGTAATAAGTTATTTTATATATTTGTTTTGTTATATGATTCATCACAATTTAAACGATGTTATTGGCATATAGTTTAATTTATGTTGGAAAGTTATAAGTCGAATCGATTGTACTCAATTTTTTAACTTTACGTGACAAATAAATATTTTTTTAATCACTCAATATTAGAAATTTTATTACCAACAAAAATACGCACGAATTTTTCACATTTTAATATCATATGACTTATATAAGATCATAAGGATAAAAATGTAAATTATTAATAAAACTCCTCCCCTTCCCTTCTGAACCAAACACATTTTTAATTAAAATCCCTCCCCTCCCCTCCCCTACTCTCTTTTGAACCAAACACTTATTTGATTAAAAAATTCCTTCACCTCCCCTCCCCTCCCATCCCCTTCATTAAAATCCCTCCCCCCTCCCCCTCATTTGAAGCAAACATAAAGTTAGGATCTGTTTGATTCAAATGAGGGGGAGGGGGAAGGGATTTTAATGAAGGGGAGGGGAGGGGAGGGGAGGTGAAGGAATTTTTTAATCAAATAAGTGTTTGGTTCAAAAGAGAGGAGGAGAGGGGAGGAGAGGGATTTTAATGAAGGGGAGGGGAGGTGAAGGAATTTTTTAATCAAATAAGTGTTTGGTTCAAAAGAGAGGAGAAGAGGGGAGGAGAGGGATTTTAATTAAAAATGTGTTTGGTTCAGAAGGGGAGGGGAGGAGTTTTATTAATAATTTACATTTTTATCCTTATGATCTTATATAATTCATATGATATTAAAATGTGAAAAATTCGTGCGTATTTTTGTTGGTAATAAAATTTCTAATATTGAGTGATTAAAAAAATACTTATTTGTCACATAAAGTTAAAAAATTGAGTACAATCGATTCGACTTATAACTTTCCAACATAAATTAAACTGTATGCCAATAACATTGTTTAAATTGTGATGAATCATATAACAAAACAAATATATAAAATAACTTATTACTAAATATTAATGGTTCAAAATATTTAATAAAATGAATAAACAAAAATAAATAAAATGATATGGTTTACAATTTGATATAAAATAAAATATGATAGAGTACATAACAAAATTAAAAGAAAAAAACGAATATAACGAAACATAATTTTTTTAATAAAAAAAAGACAATGATTATGATTTATATTAATTATAAAAATTATAAAATAATTTGAAGGTGGAGAACAATTATAATAAGTTGATGAAAACAATAGAGAAAAAACAGTAATACAAAAGATAACAAATAGTTTTAAAATAATAAAATTAAACTGAGGATATTTTAGTAAATATAATAATTTTTAAATATCAAAACTCATATTTCCTCCCCTCCCCTCCAAATCCCCCCAATTCGGAGGGAACCAAAAAGTGTGTTTTGGAGGGATTTTGCTCCCCTCCCCTCCTAAAATTTGAACCAAACATATTTAATTAAAATTTTCCCCTCCCCTCCCCTCCACCTACCCCGAACCAAACACACCCTAAATGTTTTTGGGTTGCTTTTAAATACATATTGTATTTTAGAAGTATTTAAAAATGATTAAAAATAATATGAAAATTTTTCAATGGATCATATGTTTATTAGTATATTTTTTAAAAATATAATAATACTCTTAGATTTTGAAGATGCATATCAGTATACACTCCAAATACATTGAATCAAAGTTGTTTTTGAGTCAAACCCTAAATTTGTGTCTAATTTGCATATGCATATCTCTTTAAACATTACAAAGTTGAATTTCTGTAGCATACAGAACCTGAAGCAGAAAAACAGAAAAATCAGCAAACTGTAGGTTGACAAAATAAAATTTTAATTGAGGACATAAAATAAGCATTACATAGGTGAATATGGATAAGAGGGAAACAAGCATGTGTGGATCTAACTGTGATTTCTTCTCTGTTGGACGTAAGAATGGAGGTTTTACTATGGGACATATAGTTCTCAAAGTTGTTTCAATTAAAGTGGTTAAATATGAGAAAGAGTGTTCCAACAATCAAAACGCGTTCATACTATTTGTCTTTAACACTTTTTGGTTTTCCAGCATTAGAGACATAAGATCTTTTACATAGAGTCTAAAGACTCATGCATAACAATGTTGTCTCTCATAGATTAATGAATTTGGTTTTAACATGATTTATTTTACCATTCAAAAAAATTACAGTGCAACTTATTTCTCATTTTCATTTATTTTTGGATATACTTTATTATATAAGTAGACTAACTTAATTCTTAAATCCTTCGAAATTACATGGCTTCATCAACTGTTTGCACCTTCAATCTTATTAGTCAATGCATAAATTGAACCGTCCAGTCCTTTTCTTGTTGGGACCTTATAGACTGACTTAACCAAATACTCTAACTACATCACCGAACTTAGTAAGAAGAATCATCATGTGTGTGTGTGTGTAAGATTATTGAATATATTAATATTAATACAAGATTACATACAACACATTATTGAATAAAAACTAAAATGAACTGAAACATTTGTCGTCGACTAAATCTATATATATGGGTGGTATATCCTCTAACTTTGTTTATTTGATTTTCTTTTAATCTCACTCAACTTGGTGAACTCTTGCATCCTTTCTACAAATAATCTGATCAAGTCTCGACTTTTGTTATTGAATGAGTTGTCAATTCTGGTGATGTAAGTGGTATAGGACATCTCGGTTTCTAATAAACTTGAACAAAGTGCCGCGAATTTGAAATTCACCTAAGTGTGTAATTCTCTTATCCTTTACCGAGTAAAGTATAAACCTCGCAAAAATCGCAATTTCATCACCCTTAACATTGACGATTCGTTCAACATTAATGGAATCAGGATGAGTCCAATATATACCTTTAACGGTTACTTCATCCTCGTACGTTCGGTACCTAGATACATATCAATTATCATCCAAAAGTTTCAAGAGTTGTTGCATTTCAATTATATCCCCCCTCAATGCCTTATTATTTTTGGTAACGAATATTGTAGACTTGCATAATATTTACGATATTTCCATGTCTCATTTCAAAGTTGCAGGTATATTTTTCGGTTGCACCAAATCCAATGTCATATCTAAAACGCATTCCTTCTTTTCCAGCTTAAGGCGACATGCAATTGGACGAATGATTAACTTTTCACACTAGCCATGGTTATGTAAATCACATATCACATTAAATCTCCATTTGTTATTTTCCAATAGATAACCACACAACTTAAAGGGATACTCACATTTTCTTAAACCCGTGTCATTTTGTTTGAAATTCTGGATAAGAGGTATATACTTCCCACTTCTTTCATATGTCATTGTTATAGATGCACCTCTTTTATATGAACCATTATCGAACCTTCTGATTACAATACCAAACCCCGATTTAGATGCCTCCATACGAATCCATTGAAGCATGTGATCACGAAATTCAAACTCTTGTTCATTTTTAAATTGTTTGCCAACATCTACCTTCTTCACAACAACATGTTTGGAATCTGGAGACAAAATAGGTTTGGGAAAAACATCAGGATGCACCATATCTAATGAAAATAATAACGTAAAATACTAAAAAATAGCTAAAACTAAAAACAGAGAGTTGGAAAATAAAAATAGATGGCATTCAGAAATGCATTTCCAGATTAAATGTAAATTTTTTCAGCTTCAAAACAAGATTAACGTGAGCAATGAGACTTTGAATAAATGATCTTAACTTGAATTTCGCTTCTTTTACTTATTTTGATGTGATGTAACACACGAATAAAGTTTTGAAGTGAAAATCTTGATTGAGAATGGAAGGATTTTTAAAAAGGGTTTTTAGGTAAAATGGGTATGGGTCTAATCATGCAGGTGGTTGTTTTATTAAAATCATGTTTAATATTTTCATAAATGAATGACATGCAAAGGTGACAAGTTTTCAATTTGCCACTTCAAAACTCTGGAAATGTGTGTCTGAAAACTCCACTAGAATGCACAATAAACAATAAATTGAATTGACATGTCCGGAGAAACATCTCCCGAACAAAATTTTATTTTTACATGGGGTGACACTAATTTGATAATTCATTCAATGATGCAAATGGTGTGTCCGGAGATACATCTCTAGAAACTAAAGGGTATATCCAGATTTTAATAGGGTATTTTTCCACCTCATAGAGTAGGATTAGAATTTTCTAAATTTTGAGATGTTGGATCGAACTCTAGTATGGTCAAAGGGTAGCTTCTGGTTCGACATGAATTAAACATGAGGTCGAAGACAGAATCATGGCACAT